CACTGGCATAGAGCAGGGTGTCCACTGCTGTGGCTCAGCTGGTAACTCAGTACTTACACTGAGCTGATCACTTGCAGTCCCTGTGTGCTGCCTTTAATAACTATCAGACATAAAACATGTTGTGTGCAGCTAACAACAGGAATAAATCACTGCAAGTAGAAAGAACATGTGGTTGTAAATTACTCTGTAAATAATTCATGGAACAAGCAAAAAGTGAAGCCTGAACTTCTGTTTCTCTCAGATTAGTATTTCCCCAGTCCCTCTGAAGTAAAATGTAAAGATCCGGATCACCCAATAACCAGCTGTTTATTTACATTCACATCCTGCTAATGACTTTTTCTTAATTAGAAAAAAAGAACAATTATTTCTTCATTTGTAGTTCAAGAATGTCTGCTTTCTACATACTACAGATCGCTTTATGAACTCCTTCTACTGTGTGTGTATGGAACAAGGGTGACTTAAATGATTCTTTCCTTTATAAATTGGCCTCACAGTAACATCACCATAACTGAGGTGTGAACTGCAGAAAAAACATTTGAGCTACTAAACCCTTAAATCTCAGGTAAAACATTACATAATACATTGCAAGGAGATTGCAACAGAAAGGTTGATAGTCAGAAATAACATAACTGAAAAATACTGGAGGCACAGGGAAAAAGAGGGGAAAAAAAGAAAAGCATGGAAAGCAGGCAGAGACAAACTCTGCATACGCTTCAATCTTAAAACATCCAAACTTGATCTGACCCGAAAGCTGTGTAATTTGTCAGTGTTGTACTAACCTCAAGCTAAAGAATCTAGGTTGGTGAGCTCTGTACTGAGAACATGCTCAGAGCCAGAGCTGGCTCATCTTTGGTGAGATTCTAAGTCCTGGCTGTGGAGAAGTGCTATAATGTCCTACAGCTCTCAGGTTTATCACAGACTTCCTGAATGAACACCTGTATTTAAAAATCAGCTTATGAAAACTTCCTCATATCTATCATTTCTAGGAAGTGAACTGGGCGCATCAGTGGCCATTGCTCCATCCTTCTGAGAAAGAAAACTCTGAAGTCACAGAATCACAGAGCAGTGGAACATTCCGAGTTGGAAGGGACCCACAGGGATCGTGGAGTCCTGGACATAATGCAAATGTCTGTAACTCCAGTCATTAAACTGCTGAAGTAAAAAGTCACTGACAAAGCCTACAAATGGTTTAGTGTTCTGTACATATTGCACAGAAATAATAATAATAACAAATTTGACAAGCAAAAAATCTTGAACTGGTGCAAAATAGCCAATCTTTATAGATTTTAATTATTCTGGCTAACATGAGCTACATCCAGCATTCAGTCTCTTCTTATGCCAGGAAAGTTGTAGAAGCCAGATGTGTTTGGTTTGGGACTCAGACCCTAAACTTTCATCAATCAATTAATAATAATAAATTATAAATTACAGGTGTCCCACTACTTATTTTTAAAAATGTTACCTGCAAAATTATCAGATTATAGACAAAGCATTACAATTGACAGCTATCCAGAATTTAAAAGCAAACGAGCATTCAGTTACATAATGTTGGGCTCATTTGGTAGTCATTCATTCAAATCAGTGATTTGGCTGAATAAGGAGCTATGACACTTCTAAGTGTACTGATATTTTATTAAAAAATAAATAAAATCCCTTCTTCCTACTATACAGGAAAGGAAAAGAAGAAAGCCACTATTCCTCACGCTTTACATAATTTTTAACACTCCCATTAATTCCATCTAACTAGTCTCTCCTTTTTCAATCGGTTTATCTTTTTTTCTGCTGGGATAAGGAATACATAAGTTGTCCTCCAAAAATTAACAACCTATTGTAAAAGATTCTACTGCTAGAGTGGGGATTAACCCCAGAGCACAAAGAGAGAAAAGATACAAAGGAAAACTGACACTGTGCTCTATGCTAAGGAAGAACAAGTTCACCCTATGCACCATTCACATGAGGCTGAGCTGCCCTTTTGTGCACTTCTGCAGGTCCTCTGCTGGCTGTCCTTTATAACTTGCATTATATGAAGGTGGAGAGAACTGGATTACAAATATTTTAAAATAAGTTCAATAGAAAATAATATTCTGAATACCTGCAAATACCTGGATACAATCTGTGGATGCAGAACAGCAAGTAGTTCAGGCCATCAAACACCAACTGTGAGGAGCACTCTGCCAAACTCCTAAAAGGTCACTCTCACCTGGTTACCTGCCTGCCTTCTGGCAGAACAATTTGCTTCTCTTTATGTTGTTTAGGAAGAAAGATTTTACTAAAACACTGCATCTTCTGCAGAACCCAAATGCACACGGTGTGAAGAACATGAAATGTAACACAGGTGATACCCTACTGCTCATTTAGGGTGTATTTCCCCCCACAGCCTTCCTTCCCCAGGGCAATTGCTGATGTTAAAGACAGATATCAGAAATTTAAGGATCTTTAAGGATAAGAGAGTGTATCCTCGATAGCATTGCTCATTTCACACCTTATTTCACATGGATGAATGGCTCTCATGATTTATTCCACCAGAAGTTCCCGAGTTCTGGTGAGGACATCCAGAGATTTTCTGGGAGATGAAATGTGGAATACAGTCTTAACAATCCATTCCCCAAGTAAAAACTGCTGCAAGCAACAACGTAACTTCTCTGCTGATTTACTTTTTAATCATTGTACCATCTCCAGTCATCCACGAGGCCAAGTCTCATCAATGGCACAGTTGCTTCTTGTGCATTTAAACCAGCTTTAAATCATGTGTTCATTAGGCCATTTGCTATGCCTTGGTTTGTTATTGCCACAGAAAATACATAAATGTGGGGTGATATTACGTGGTTATTACTTATAAAAAAAATACGTAGCCAGGCACATATTTGCCTCTCTTTTGCACTGCTAAATCCGTACTACAATTAGGAACTGATTCTAACATGCAGAGAAACTTCTGAAGGACTCTACAGACCCCAGGCAGCATACAGTTTTACAGAAAGACTACAAAAATTGGCTAACCAGTTTACTGGCTGGAAGCGAGAGGTGTCACAGGCAGAGCTCAGTCTTCTCCCATTCTGCCACCAGCAGCTGCATACACAAACTGTTCTGACTTTATACTTCAGAACTGTCTGTATGCAAAATGGATCTAGTGATCCTCATCACTTTTAGGACTGTTCAGACATGGACACCTCCCAGTGCATGTGCCATAATTCCATTTCACTGTAGAAAGGCATTTACATATGGCGGCCTTCCCCAAAATCTGCTGGTGTAATGAAGGAGATCTGTACCTCTCACATTCAGGATACAAACTCTTCATGAGTATACCCAGATACTACAAGATAAATCATTCAGTGAGTACATTTTTTCCTCTGGGAAAGTGGTCTGCGTGAGATTTCCTTATGCTGTCCTCACCAAAATGCAGAGCACTGAGCCAGTTAATGACAAAAAGATTAGAACAATCCTACACGTGGTTTTCAGCTCCTTTGCAGAGAAATTTATTTTCAATCTCGTCTTAACGATGCTCATCAGGATGAATTTTCCTCTATGTATATTTAACTCCCAGAGTTACTTCTTAGTTACCAGCAGCCCTTTCTGTAAGAAAGGCACACCTTCCTTAGCTGCACACTTCACCCTACAAAGAGAAGCCAGCTGAACTGCCACTAGGTAACGTGTAAGCTTTCAGATGCATATAGCCTCAAATCCAGACAACACACACAGATACGTTCAGAATGATTTCCCTCAGAAGAGCTTGCCCAATTTCTCCTTCCATCCTGCAGCCCCTTCAGCTGTAGGTCACAAGGATGTTCTTCTTTAGCGGAAACGCTGCACCGTTTTGATTCCTTTCTTCTGGGAAAGAGGCGAATTGTTTTTGATCAGACTTTCACCCTCTTCTATTTTTTAAAACAAAGTCACCTTTGAAAGCAACTTTTGAGAAGCGTGGCACTAATAGGCTCTAAGTTTCAAACAGTTCCAGGTTACGGAAACAGGAGGTCAGAACCTAAGGGCATGGGGGCAATGTTCAGTGCATCAGTGAACATCAGCTACGTGGATGTAAAATAACACTTTGTTACTTTTTGAGGAAGAAAAGAAGACCAGCTCGTAAAATGCAAAATTCTGGAATAAATGCCCTTCCAGCCCTACCTCACCTCTTCACACAGCAAATCACCTTTCAGGAGACTGTGAAACCTCTGTTTCACAACAGGGGCAAAAGCGATGGAGCCAATTTTTAAGAATTCTTTCTACAACCTGAAAAGTAAATAGAAGGGAAGGCAGATACTTCTTGTTTCTCCGAAAACAAACCAGTGTTCATTTAAAAGACTGGTGAAAGTGATGCTCCACTCCCACTTCGGAAGATTCTAGCGTTGAAAGCAATTATGACATTGTTCCTCAAAGTGCGTGAGGTTGAATCAAAACACAAATATTTCGTGGTTTGCCAGGGTTAAAAAGAAACAGAGTGTGGTGCCTCCACGCCTGGAGGCTTGCTTGCAGCCTCTCATATTCTAAACAGCAGAACAGATCTTGTTCTTCCAGTTCCAAAATACTAGTTTATCAGACTCTGAGATGGTGCTAAAAATCCACCAAAACAAATGTGATTGCAATTTATACAGAGATTATACCCACAGCACAAACTCATAGCAAGGCCTAAACTGAGCTAGGTGATCAAATTCTTAATCAATAAAAGACAAACTAATTTCAAGAGCTGGTAGAAGGAATATGATGCTAACAAGTATCCCTATGGGTAATGAAATAGAGAATCTTCAAAACCATTTCCAACTCAAGCCTCACAAACACACTGACCTGTACTGACAGAATGCAGTTTACCCTCTTCTCTGTTTTGGTCTGTTTTTGTTTTTGTTTTTAAATTGGCCAAAGTGATTCAACAACACTGGTGAAAACAGGATGGTTATCTTATTTTTTTTCATCTAAAACCAGTAACTTTTAGAACAGTTTTTGCTTATATTCATTTTGAATTTGGCAGTAAAAACCAAGTTTGCATGGGGTATGTTTATAACAGAGCCTACCTTGGCTTTCAGCTCAGCACAGATCTCCTGTTGCTTTTGTCTGTTACTAACTGATTCTGCTTCTGCCTCCCGAGCAGCAGAGGCTTCAGCAACAGCCGTCACCGCCTTCAGGAAGAATGCTTTCCTTGCTTGAGTCCAATTTAAGATCAAGACTCTGCGTTGATTCTTAAAGAAATTGCAATGATCCCAAGCTTTCTCATGAGTAACCTAAAAAAAAAGTAATGCATTTCAGACAAGCTTGAAAACTAAAATCAATAAAATATTTTGCAAATGTTGAATATCATTGGCATAATTACTGTATCTCCAATATCCCCATGGAATCCACAATCTAGAGCCTGAAAGCATTCTGCCTGATGCCGGGTCTGCAGCAGCCTTCCAGTGCTGGCAGGCCATCCTAGCACTGCCATCCTTCCCTGTTGTCTGCTCCACCACACAGCACTTCAGTATTCCAATATCCCACTGCTCCTTTCTGAACAGTACTTTTGGAATACAAATAAACAAAATGCTTTCTTGCCATAGAATACATAAAATACAAGCAGGTCCTTTCAATACATCATCAAAAATACCAAGCGCTTTTAGCTAGATGAGGCTCTTCATAGCAAATTGTGACCCCCTATAGAGAAACAGAACACCACGCAAAGCAGTTGTATCAATGTAGTACAGATGAGAATTAGCTTCACTTTTTCTTTCCCAACAGGACACTTACAAACAGATTTTTAGCTTGCCAAGCAGCACACTGACATTAATAATACACAGTTTTTCATCTTAAATACTCCTTCTTTGATCTTAATCAGTGAGGTTCCAGAGGACATTCAGGCTTCATACCGTAGACAGAAGCAGTAATGGGTGAAGCTGCATGGACTGTGGCATTAGAAACTTGGACCTGTCTTACATCCCCCAAAAATATGAACTACAAGGATGAACATTCTAGAGATAGCTTTCTGCTCACAAGCTTCTAGAGGCACATCCTTGATGCTCCCTTCCAGGCTTTTAGCAGAAGACAAGGGGATGCTGACTCAGCTGGTGCCTATCTCACAGATTTCCCATTGGCTTGCAGCTGGTTGGAGATTAAAAGTAGGCATCACTCCCTCTGGAACTTTTCTCTGCACTTTCTCAGCTGTTTGTGTGGTCACCACATCCGAGGTTCACACTGCCATCACTGCTGCCTCAAACTCAGGTGAGCCTTACTGGCAAGCAGCTAAACTATGCTGAGAAGCTCCTGCACAAGAAAGGAGATGAGCAGGTTGCTCATCTAAAAACAGGTCACTCTGATGACCTGCTGCTGAATCAAGCACTCAGTGCTTGTCCAGTGACCCACTCTTCTTCAGGGAGAAGGAAGAAGAGAAGGTTCTAAGTTTAGTTAGTTATGCTAATGTAATAAATGTTCTAAGAATAGATTCTTAGTACTGTTCTAACATTTCTGTATCTGTCATGATAATATAAACACTGCATTCAATGCAGAATTATGATTTTTAAATTTTAAATGCCCCTCCTCCCCCCCCAAAGAATTAGAGAGGCCCATTAATAATGGCTACGGTGAAAAATACACAAACATTATACGAAGCACATCATTTTTTAGCCCAGTTATCACATGCAAAAGTTCCAAAGTCCACAGGAACTTTACTGTTGGTGAAAGTATGCCATAAATCTGTATCACTTCATTGTCACTGCTTTGTAGTAGGCACCCTCAAATCCAAGAAAGCAGATGGTCTAAAAATATATGCAGAGGTAAAAAAAGACTCCAGCTTTCCCTACGACTTCCTGAAGTATTCTGGCCTTGAAGTGGGTTTCTCTATTACCCGCTTGTGCTTATTCACTGCGGAGTGGGAAAGGAATCAGCAATCAATTTGAAACGCATTATGAATATAAAAATAGCCTCTCCCTGAGAGCAGGAGATATCTTTTCGCTCTTCCTGCTATATATGTGCCACAAGCCAATTAAAATAACTATTCCTAGACGGTGTGACAATGCTATACATCCTCATAAAAAAATAAAAATAACAAGAGAAGCTGAACAGCGTGACATAGCTATAAAAGGGTACAGCAAAGCAATGCTAGCAAACTAATTTTGTGAACTTGGCAGTAAGGGTTTGTGGAACTATAAAATCTGCATATTTTGAAGCTGCGATCAAGAAGTGAACAGCTTTCAAGTTCGTGGATTTTAAAGACAGGGACATCTCATCCTCACCGTGCAGAATAAAATCAATAATTAAGAAGTTACGAAATAAAAACCTTTGCTAAACATTTTTAATACAAATGCTGACTGCAAGCTTTCTGTAAGAACATCTATATTTGAGCTATACTGACCAGTTCGTGCCTAGACTTGTGAGGAAGGCATCTCTGCAGCATATCGAGGTACAAGGTCCTTCTTTGCTGGAGGTCACTCGGGTACTGACTGATGACAGTCTCAAAAACCCACCGATCTTCTTCCTTCCAGTCAGTGTTCCTACAGAAATTCAAAACAATTGGTCCCGATGTCATTTAAGACTTTAAAAGCAGGAGTCTGGTTCTAGGAGGATTTTGTGTTCGTTTCCTTAAGAAGGGCCTTATACTTCATTGGGCTCCTAACAATTCTGAGCTGTAAACTCAATGTTGGTTCAAAGCCGGGAGATTTAGACTTACTTCAGTGACTCAAAACAAACCCAGGCTGCTTTTGTGATGTAAGCATTTACTGCGCTGTCATCTGAGTGAATTCTTCTTTTTCTAACCTGACTTTTTATTGGGAATGACACCGTGTTTCTCAAGTTATGTTAGCAGTCACACAACATGAAAAAAAGCAGTGTGAAAAAGGAAAACAACTAGTCTCCATACTGAGCACTGATTAAATGATCAAAAGGGGCAGAATGATAATACCAGTGTGCAGCTAGATGAGGAATTAGTTAAAAACAAGCTTCTAACAGCCACAGAATCATCATCAAGGCATAACTGTGCTTGGCCAGGCCTGTCCTGCTGCCAGTGGCTCAGCTGCTGCCCGCAGGATGCATCACACAGCTCAGCCCGCGCTGCTAAGGACGACGTCCATGTCTGCAGATACCGGGCTAGGACTAAGAACACAGAAGTAATAATATGGATTTGGACACTGATTAATATTAAAGTTAATGAAATTGTAGACAGAGCAATCTTTCCCTCAACGGTTTTACCTGAGATAGACCTATGTTTCTCTTACTCTGCACTCATTTTCTTTTACCTTCTCACAAACTGTGGAATGCCTGACAAACTATTTCCGAGACGCAGCTGTTTAATTTTAGATCCAGCACCATGAAAAGAAATGGAGGTGGTTTCAAAATGGGAGAGAGAAGATCCAGCTCCTGTAAAAAGTTTATTTCCAATGACCGACAGCTACTGTGCAAGCTGGAGACAACATAAAACAGGAAATAACTTCAGTATAGCAGACATTGTCTAGCAAAGAAAATGCTTCCTTCATTTTTCATGAAAGACAATGAATGCAGATTGCTGAGCGTAGGGTGCTTTCATTTTCTAGGAACAAAGAAGAAATAGTGCCCAAGAGAGTAAAAGGAATTAAGGAACCCCCCAAAAAGGGAATGGCTGCAGGACTGTCCTGCAACTGCAAGGCTGGGCTGCGGGTCTCCACGTCAAGAGCTTCTGAGATGTGACAGAGGAGGCAATGGAAAGATGGCTATTCCTGCAGCGTCTATGAAAGCTGTCTTGCAACTGATCCTCAGAAATGAGTGCTTCAAACACCACCCCCCTTTTCTCTAGAGAGTATTTTCAATGAAATCAGATCAGATATTAATTTTAGAATCTGTGTCATAATTTGGTATTTTGAGGTATAGGCGTTCTGAAGAGTAACTTTAATGGACAAATTAATTATTCTTTGCTATGACTTAAACCTCTTTGACTGCACTGCTCCTGTGAAGGCTTAACTGACTACGTTTCTTAAGATAACATAGCATTCACTCCAAACATGCAGGTTTATGAACATCTAGAGGTCTTTTTCCTACAGTAAAGCACAGCCTGACCAGCAGACACTGCACTGCCCACCTGAGAGCAGGGACCAGCACAGACCTGCACTCAGAAGGCCGGCCTGGTGCCCCCATCTGCAGGGCACAAGGGTGTGCAAGGTCTTGCACCCACATTTGCCTCAGTCCTCTCACCTCCCTAAGGATCCCTCTGTCCACTGCTGTGATGGCAGCTAACGATGGGTGCTGTGCTGCTCAGGAGCAAGGCCAGCTAACGATAGGTGCTGTCCTGCTTGGGAACAAGACGGAGAAACTGGGGGTTGTGGAAGATGGCCAAGGGAGCTAACAGCTGGAGCCACATGTGGGTTATTGGGAGCAGGGAAACACAGACTGCAGAAGTCTTGGTTTGTCAGCTGTGAAGAGAGTTGGTCAGCTGTACACAGACAAATAGCTAAAGGAAACGATCCAGTCTGGCGTATTTGCAACCATTACATGCACAGAGAATTAGAAAATATCTTGCTTCAGTAAATGCAAGATATTTTCTTAATTAAACCTCTGTAAAATTACATAAAACAAAATCTCATCTAAATGAAATTTGACATCACTCTTTACATCACTATTTAAGGTAATATGCTTCTTCAGCACCGTAAGGATATTCACAAACATTGACAAGGCTGACGGCACAACCCAATTTTTAAACATCCTTCTTGCTTTTCTTCTGTGTATAATTCTGCTACCAGAAAACATTTCAATCTTGATTCTGTTCCAGAACTGAAACAGGGAGATTGTCTGACATTCAGCAAGCCTGAGGCAGCTGCTTCCTTTGAAACAAATTTACCCAGGGTTAATCCCTGGCTTTACACTTTTAAAGAACACAAAAGGACTCAGAAGGGAAGCTGCCCTATAATCCCCACCAATCCTTTGCAATAGCTGGGACAACATAAACTTGATGCACTGACGTGTTGTGGAATGTGCAGATAGGCTGCGACAGTGATTCTATATTCTATGATATGATCAATGCCACCAAGTGAGATGTTAACTCCCCTGGCCATCAGTTATGTCATTGCTGATAGTTCCACCAGAAACATCTGCTAAAGGGCCTTAAAAAAGGAACCACATTTACTCAGCATAGTCGTAGTATCCCTTTCATTGAAAGAAGTTGCTGAGGATACCGTGCTGAATATGTAGTACTAAACCCATCTTTCAGTTATTTAAATAATTGAGATATCCTTGGAAATTGTGGCAAAAATACAGTTGTACTTAGAGAAACATCAGCTGTAACACATCAGTTCCAAGTCCACAATTTATGGGACAATTTAGAAGTTGGATTTTTCCCAAAAACTAAATTTGTGTTTCAGCAGAAATAAAGGAAGTGAATTTAGACTGATCAAACATCATCATCCTTTATCGTGCATGAAAAAAAATCTTCAGTTTCTAAAAGCAATAAACACTGAAACTGCTATAAATTTGCCACCTGCTGCTTTGTAAATGCTATAAAAATTGGAAAGATCAGAACAATTTTTAATAAGTACCATGTTATAACACCTAGGACTGTAGAGTAATAAAAGACTGGTTTCAGATAACGGAAGGAGAAGGCCCTACAAAATATCCAGGCAGTTTATATAAAAGATATGTAGATAACATCCCTTTCTCGGGGATGCAACATCTTACACCTGTTTGAGCATTCCCAAACCAATTTATCAGCAGGGGCAGGATATTTAAGTGCTGCACTGCAAGAGCATGTAGGAAAAGGGGGAGTTTAGACCAAGCTGGTGATTGTTTTACCGATAAAACACAGGGCTCTTTCTGCTCTCTCCAGTTTATTCTTCCCAGGCTCCAAATAATTCCTCTGACCTTCCCACTCTCCACCTTCTTAAAACCTGACATCATTTTAATCTAGGGGAATATCAGTAAAGAACAAAAAGAAGCCAAGGCTGGTACAACAGCTGCAACTTGATACACTCTCCTGGATTCAAGTGAGCTGGGGCAGGAAAGCTGATCTTTGCTCCCATTAACATATTATATTTCTAGGTTACATATTACATTTCTAGTTATGTTACATTTCCAGATCATTATGAATACTTGTGTTCTTTCTATTACCTTTTTCATTTACAGAAAAACCTCTCCTTCTTTAAACTATTCTTTATCTATATATATTCTTATGTTTATTTATGATGATCATTAGTGCAGTGATCCAAAATTCCTTAAAAGGCAAGACCTATTTATCAGCTTTATAGATACAAGCATTTAAGACCTGTGCAAACAGCTACTGACTTTATCCCCAGAGAGCTGGGCAGTGAGTCAACTGCTCTCTGCACCGAATAAAATAGAGCCAACCTTCCAGTAAAGGAAACTGCAGAACCTGTAAATTGCAAAATACGTTAAAGTTTATGTTATTATCCTCTGCACAAGAAATCCAGAAACAGATATCATTACCTATGTATGATGTTCAGCTGTTGATCAATCTCTTGCAGCTTAGACCAGTATTCATTTGCAAGCTTACGGTATTCATTGATAACAAAGCTCCTCAAGTCTGGATAAGGGAATTCCAAAGACAGTAGATCTGAAGGAACTTCATGGAAAAGTCCATTTTTCTCTTCAAAACCATGCACTATGGCCTGTGATGAAAAAATGCTACTCAGAATGCACTACTCTGCAGTCAATTTTTTCTCCAACATTGTTAACTACATTTATAAGGAAAAGCTTACTTCTATTTTGTCGTCTTGAAGCTCTCTTTCCAAAGCCAGACTTTCAAGGTTAAGAAATTCCAAAATTGTTTTCCACTGTTTCTTCACAGATTCGATCTGTTTCATGAAATACGTTACTGTTATTTCTTTATATTGTTAGAATATGACATTTCTGATTTAGAAATAAAAACCTGATTTCCAGTTTAACTCTGCTATGCTCTTACAGGTTTCAGTGGAACAGATTTGCACTGCGGCAAGTGCAGAACTTACTGAATACTTACTAAATAATCTGAAAGTCAGCTTTAGCCTGAAAACATTACATACAAAATAAATGATAAGTAGCCCATGATCAGAAATCAGGCAAGTAATGTTAAAATGCCAACCTGCTGTAACTTCTCAGCTAGACTGAATTTGTTTTTCAGAGATGAGTCTTGTGTGACGTAATGCTGCATTTCAGACAGCCAGAATTTCAGATTCTCTCTTAGTTGCCAGATAGGAGCCACAGCATCTGTTTGGTAAGCATCCCGCTCCTGTGACAATTTGTGCTCTAAGTGCAAATGAAACATAAAGCTTTCTAAAACACAAAGTATTATGCAGTACTGTGCTTCCTAAAGCAATAACTGTCATGACAGGTATTTAAAAACAAGCAATTAAGATCATTTTGAGTGTAATAAATAATCAAGAAATGAATTGAAAATTCTTACCCAAGTCCCATATATCCAAAAAAAAGTCATACTTATGACTTCCTTCATCAAGAAGAGCCTGTATTTCTGCTTCTGCTTTTTCCCTGCAAAATGTGAGCGAGTTTGACAGAAGACTTGACTGATTTCTTAGTTATTAAGTTTGCAAGAATGATAAGCCTCAGACATTTCATTCATTAAATAAAAAGGACTCTCCACTTGCAAAGGTTCTAAGGGCAGGTGTTTGATGTGAAAGAGATATGGAAGCCACCCTTCAGCAAAACATGCTGGAAGAGATCTGCTATACAACATGCAAGCTGGTGGATCTAAGACAGCAAAGCTGTGGTTTGGGCAGCAAATTCTTTCTGAGAAAAGAACTGCATCAGGGCACCAGAAGTGTTCTTTCCGAAAATTCTGAGATAATATTCATCATACAAAAGACAAGAAAACAGCTTCTGCAGCCTGTTGCCTCTTGTTCTGTCACTGCCCAGCACTGAAGAAAGCCTGGCCCCACCATTTGATTCTCACACTTTAGATATTTACAAACAGAGATCAGAACCCCTCTTACTCTTCTCCAGGTTGAAAAGCCCCAGGTCTCTCAGCGCTTACTTTTGGAGTGACCTACTTACATGTAGAACATCCACCTTGCTCTGCCCATTTTTAATCTGTTCTCTTTGCTCCTGCAGACCCCTTTCAATGGCAGTCACAACCTCTTTTGCCTGCACAAAGAATTATCTTCTCCTCCTAACGTCCCTTTCATCCCACGTGCTACACAAGAATCTCTGCCGTCTGAGTATTTATTTAACAACAGTAAGATTCCTCAGGTCCCACCTGTTCTCACTAAGTCTCTTATACTCTCGCCACCACACTCGGCAGTGCTGTTTCAGTAGCATTTGCTCTTTGCTGATTTTTGAAATTTGCTCCATCTTTTTAATCTGCAAGGAGATTAAAAGAGTGTCAGTATTTTTGGCATGCTCAATATCTTTATCAAATTTCTTCATATTGAAACTGGATTACAGAACAGAAAACCTAACAGCTCTTTACAAAGCGATTTTCTAAAGAAGAAGGGCTAATTAATTTCCATGAAAAATTTTATTCCACTTCAAGTTGCAATTAAAATGAAAAATGAAAAAGTGTAATCTGTTTTCTTCTTCTTCTTTTCCTTCATATTCCTATTTCCCACAGAATAAAGAGGGTGGGTGAGTAAGAGAAAAAAACAGCAACAAACTTTCTTACAGGTGGGAAGAAGATGAAAGAATGAAAGCATATCTCTAAAGAGAAATTATTTTAAAAATTGGTTACTGAAAAGGGTGCTTTTCTAAATCTGTCCAATTAAAGATGCTCTGAATTCATCTGCAGATTTCACAAAGGCTTCAGCTTCACAGAGAACAGGAAGGCGTGTTTTCAGAGCGATGGAGTTACTTGTTAAACTAGAGGAAAATCCATCATGGAACAGTGGATGAAGTAGCAGCCAGACTTTCTGGCCAATCGGCAGTGAAGAAAGCAGGAACAGAAGAATGCCCAGCACACGTTTGCTCCTCTCCTGCTACTTTTCTTCTTGCTTCCCACCCACCTCCCTCTGTACCACCCAACCCCAGCACTCCCCAGCCAGCTGCTTCAAGTGGCAAAACCCCCCTATTGGCAAAGGATCCCCCAGTTCACCCAACCCCCCCACCCCCCTGTTCACTGTCAGATTCCACGCGGGCAGTGAAAAGAAGTATGATCATTGTATTAAAAACGTGATAACACAAATTAAAAAATACATACCTTTAATTGAATTTTTGTGGATGCCATTTGTTCTGCTGCTGTGAGTTCACATAGACGTTTGTAGTCAATGGGTTTGTATTTCTGACTGCAAAGTGCATTTCTCATAGGATTCACCAGATTTTCTAGTTATCACATAAAACATTTACAACCATGTCAAATCCTCAAGAAATATTTTAAGTTTGAGCCATAAAATGAAAGCATTTTGCATGGAAATTAGAGGCAGTATAATAAAAACATTAGAAGTTTCCATAACAGAGATTTGTAGGTACTGAATAAGAATCTGATATAAACATAAGCTGATAGAAACAGTAAGAAAAATTAACCATTTGTCTTTTCATAAATAGTTTAGTAGAAGCAGTTATTTTTTTCTATGTGAACTAAAAGAATAATTCACTTCAAATTGAGTTTACTGGAATTTCAGTAACTTCTAACACAGAAATATTTAAGCTTCAATATAAGCATAATTATTACACCAACTGGAATACCACCTCAACATTTACTGTCATGTATGAATTGATTAATAGGATTTTTTTTTTCTAAAAGAAAAGCTCTATAAATTAATCCTTGAATGTAAACCGAATTGGTCTCAGGTACACTTCTCATCAAATCTCCAGCCACAAGAACAGCAAAACCTTTCTACAGAACTTCCTTAAAAAAAACAAGGAAAGCATTCACTTAGCTCCTGTCACAGGTGGTGTGGGTCAGGATGCCCACTTTCTACCTATATCCCTATAAAACTGATAAAACTTAACCCAGCTGGTCTTTCACCACACAGTGAAGCTAACTCACACTTCTCCCTTCGAGAGATCTCACAGAGGGAAAATTTCTTCCATTTTATCCTTCCTGGAATCTTTGTATGAACAACTCTTTTCCCCTGGTTTTCAGTCCTATAGGAAGCATTGTTCATCTACTGATGATCCAGATCCAGATTTGAAATCCTCTTCCCTAAGTTAGCAAGATTCTACATGAACACTTTTTCCTTGCTTTTGAGATTGGTTACAACTTTGTCCATCAGAGATCGTGTGACTAGATGTTAGGAAGAAATTCTTTACTGTGAGGGTGATGAGACACAGAACAGGTTGCCCAGTGATGCTGTGATGTTCCCTCCCCGGAAGCACTCAAGGCCAGGCTGGATGGGGCTGTGAGCAACCTGGTCTATAGGGAGGTGTCCCTGCCTGTAGCAGGGGGTTGGAACGAGAGATCTTAAAGGTCCCTTCTGACCCAAAGCATTGTATGATTCTATGGTTCTGTGTACCATCATTATGCATTCAAAGAAGGAAAATTTTAGCAGCCAAACCCTTTGAACAAGCACACGTTCAGTTCTTCCTTTTAAGCCTGTTAATTCTTCACTACTGCTCCCAAAGCCTTTAAATCACTGCCAGTCTGCTGTCATTTCAAGTAGCAGCATTGGTGCCCACTCTCAGAAGCAGCAGGACACAGCAAGGGCCTCAGAGCATTTCCATAACATAGGTAATTAAGGCTCCCTGCAGGCATTTCACCTGGGAGATAAGCCAGGTTTGCAATTTCATCCTGTCATACTCATCAGAAATGAATCAGTAACTGCTACTGTTATCAATAACTGATACTAACTATTTACAGGAGTCATTAAATACAGCTCTATGCTTCTTCTCTGGTGTGTCATAAATCTCATGATCTCAAAAATACACGGTAGTGTGATCTTTTGCCTTCCAGCATTCCTGATCCTCACTTAATTCAGGATAGCCTACTATGGTGCAGGTAAGTGTCAGAACAAAGCTGGGACAGTCACCTTCCGGAGGAGATAACAACCTGCCTCTCTCCCCGCAGTGCCTGTTTCAGCTGCTGCTGCTCTCATGCCTCTGCTGACTTTCACCTTCTGCTGGCAGTGTCACCTTCTGATCAGGCATCAGAAGTTATTCTGAAATCATTTCACTAGCATGAAGCTCTCACACCAGTTGTTCTGAATTGTGGAGCAGATATCCGGGTGAGGAACCCACCTGGGTATCACACTCAAAATTGCAATAGCCTAACCAGTATTCTTTGGCCTATAACAGCACTGTCATTCTCCTTAAACCTCTCGATGAAATTACAGCTCGGTGTCCCTGTTTGACAGCTGCCATTTACCATCAGCTTTTGAAACCCCAGCTTTATTCCTCAGTGAGGTGTATCAAGGATGAGGGCGTGATCAAAAAAACAAACACATCCCATCTTTTTTGTTCTCCTTCTTTCTCGCAATATTTAATGAGTGGAAAGGGTAGACAGCAAAAAGGATGGAAGAACAGGAAGAAACATGTAAAAGGGCATACTGATGTAGGGGAAGCAATAGGGCTCAGTGCAGAAAGTGAGGAAAGGAGAAAGAGTCACCCCACTGGATGAACAGAAAAGAAACCGGAATGTTATTTTAAAAAAAAAAAAAGAAGCCACTTGTTTTTCACTCTGACCATAGAGAAGTGTATCAGAGAAACACACAAAGGTTACACTTGGTGGTACTCCTTCATATCTGAAAGAATCAGAAGGGATGGGAGACAGGTTCAATTCCCAAATCTCTCACCCCATGTCATTCACTTTTGCCTTTGCTTTTGATATGTTCTTTGCTTTACCTTGTACATCTGAACCTCATGAATTCGCACTCGTAATCTTTATCAGTTTCTTTTACTGAGGACCTTACTCTTTGAGGATATTTCTGAAGGCAATGAAATCTATTCCTGTACAGTTAACTCCAAAATGAGGCTGCTAGCATATCAGATGAAAACTTTACGTTTAATATGTACTGTGTTGGATGTGCCTTCTGTCTTACAAATACAAAGATTCCTTTTTGTACCTAATATGTACATATACATCCAAAAATATATACGTCTCCACATTAGTAAAAAATACTAAGCTAACATTTTTTCACAATTCTCTGTAATAAACATTGGCTAAACCTGAGATGCAATTTTAATAGTGAACAAAAATACTTCAACATCTGCCCAGGTACTGTAAGGCTTCAGCATGCAGACCTTCAGTAATTCCATGTGTAAGCTGGGAATTTTCATAGAATCATAGAATGAGGTTTTTCTTCCCATTTTTGGGGGTATCTTTAATAGTGAAACTTGGCATTAAGTATCACTATAGACTTTTTTTTCCCATTCATCAGTAAGCACACTGTGGCTCAAAGCAGTATTTCTAACAGTCGGCACTGCAGAAGGACCCCATATAAAACCCTAAGGCAAGTCCTGAAAGCTATCTCATGACCCTCCTGCAAGCCTCTCCAAAGGATTCTCATTTGCTACATGCCCTACAGAAAACCTAACAAAATGACCCCACAGCTCGTTGTGTTTTACATGAAACATCAAAATAACATAGCAGCTTCCACACGTCGCAATTAATCACATAGAATATTGCATAAACTGTTTAGTTTTTACTTGTGACAGAGCAATTGAACTTATACTCGACAGTGTACATACCAACATCACTAATCCTCTGAGCTGCAGACATTGTTCTGTGGTCTGGTTCACTCCTTTTTATGTGTTGTTCAACATCTGTTGAGAAACAAACATGTCTTGAGAACACCAGCACCGAGGATGCTAAAAATACTCATACAATAACCACACACTGATTTCCAAGGAGAGAGAACTTATCAGAATGAATGCGTAATTAGAAATTACACAAGTTCATCTTCCATTTTAAGAAAGATTTCAGTTTTTTTGCTGTTGTTCAAAAAATCTTTCTGTTTAGGGAGCAGCTGAGAAATGGAAACCAAGCTATTATTCATTTGATGGATCTGTGACACTGTTGCCAAGTAGATCACCCATCCTTTCCTTTATGCTTTTTGAAATGTATCTGTCCTACTGGCCCAAATGGAAGATTGCTTTTTGAGCTGCTCTTTGATTTTTAGAAATGAAGCCTGAAAGGCCTCTCTTTTTTTGTACTTACATACTACGGTTTATATGTAGATCTCTTTTTACCCTTTCAAGAGTCTCTGCATTAACACCTGGCAGCCCAACCCAGCTGTTTCAGTAATACTGGCTTAATTCTTAATGAGCAATGAGAACAGACAATGTACATCAAGCATCTACAGCACACTGGGATCAACCTCACATCTACACTGCAATCATAGAATCACCAAGGTTGGAAAAGGCTTCCAAGACCATCTAGTCCAACCATAAGTAATAACATCTACAATGCAGTTAAAAAACAAACCAACTTTGATGTCCTAAAAGCGTGTTTCCACTTCAATTAGGCACTATCACAGGTTTTGCTTGTGAAGAAAACATGCATGCAAAGCTAAAGATTGGATGTTTCAGCAGATCTGGATGAACGGCCAAACCGCAGCAGGAGGGAAAGGCTGCATTCAGCCAGTCTGCCCCAAACCCTCCCCCTCACTGCCAGCTTCACCTCTCCGTTGCTTCCTAGACACAGATTCCACCTAAGGTGGTGCAGCTTTGGCATTTGCCTGCTCCTGCAGCAAGTAGCAACACAGTAAATAGCAGACCAGCAAAGTCTGTTCATCTGTATTTTGTGGAGTTATTTTTCTGCTGTTCTAGCAAGTTGAACCAGCTTATCCACACAAATTCCAAGGATGGCCCAATGCATCAAAAAGAAAGGCAGAGAAGAGCAGCAGAAGCAATTGAAAGGGAATGACTCTGACAGAGAGCTATTAATTTCAGTCTACCCAAACTGTGCGACTGCAACCAAGGATACTTAGTATTGTATGTTCCTGTGAGCTATATTTCTTCCTGACAGCATTCTGCATTGCAGAATCATCAAAAACAGCTTAAGTGTAAAAACCCGACCGAGATGGACAAGTTTCATTGAACAAAGTACCATTATTACCGAAAGAAAAAAACAGCAAATGCAGTTGAAACTAAGCCACAACTGCACACACAGTCATTCCTGTGTCTCCAAGACACTGTTTGATATTCATACTGTGTTTAGTTAACGATGGAAGTTAGAAAGCAAAGAAAAAATCACGGCTATCAGGTTCTGCACAAAGAATATTGGATGACGGCAGCAAGTAGAAAATAGCGAACGCTCACTGATGGCATGACATTTCCCAGTGCTTCTCAGTGCATATTCGTCTGTGTTATTTAAATGATAGGAAACCCTCCCTTGCACTGAACCAAAATCAACAAAGTCTAAACATCATCTACCTTCACCCAAGAGCAACCACATATTAGCAAGAAAGGGACCTTTCCAAATTTGTTCTGGAAGAAATTGGCAGTATTGGTTGGTCAGAAGCTACTCTGAAGGCCAACATCTGATCACAGGGGCTGAAATTAAGAAGAAAATATGATAATACATTTGGGAGTTTGTTCCTATTAGGAAACATTAATGTTTATTTTACAATCCAGTAGTCACTTGCAAACAAACTCACAGTGCTATCCCAAAGTCCGCATACTCCTCAAGGGAAAAAGAAAGAAAAGAATTAGCGTATTCATTTTGTTGATCCCATTTTCTCTCCTTAAAGCAATTGCTTGGATTTAACCTGTAACCATGTAACAAGGCCAAATTCATCCAGCCAAAGGAGTGATTCTGCCCAGAAGAAGATGCTTTGTTTGGCTTTTTTGTGATGGCAATATTTTGTGGGAGTAACAACCTGTTTCTGCATAATTCTCTATCTGCACATATACTTCAGTTGGAATTGATTTTTTTTTAATCAAATCCATTCTATATGTAAATTCTCTGCTTAGAGGCTCACAGAACAGTACAGAATGAGAGTCACACCCTTACTTAGTATGTCAAGACACACAAAGTTGAAATGTCTCTTCTTTCCCCTCTAAAACAAAATACATTTTTCTGCTGCTTCTTAAAAAGGTCAGCTATGCACAGAGTAGTCTTTACTTCTTGGAAGAACCAGCAGAATTACAACTGGGACAAGAAATACTTAATCACAAGCTATCACAACCCCAGCCTCATTCAGGGAGACGCTCAGCAGTGGCTCAGTATTACTGTCACCTACAGACATTGCTCCTGACATGACAGCATGCTATAACTGCCCCAGGCCTCTTCCAATAGCACCAGACACATGCTGCATCAGTTGAGGCCAAGAAAAGAAGGGGAAGAGCCAGCTGAATGACTCTCCTTGGGTGTGACATTGTCTGCAGAGCCCCCCAGCTCTGCCCAGCAGCAGCACTATTTCAAACAATGGCAATTTCTCTTCAGGGGTTTGCATGCTGTGGTTAATATTTACGCAGTAGTTTTCGTCTCCCTTGCCAGAGATATCAGCAAGGATACCATATTCAGGGATTATTCAGAGATTCTGCAGGCAGAAATACATATATCTCCATTGGACATGGCACAGACTGCACGTGCTTTGTGGAACAATTCTGACTTCTCTGACTTGTAGCAGCCCAGCATAACGTATCCACAAAGGAAAACACAGCATGGGTCAGTTCTAACTGCAGGGTGAGACATCAAAGTTCCTTACAAAGTTCTAGTCAAACTGAGAGATATGTAACAAAGCAGGATGGCTTTTCTTTGCTCTCGCTATTCTTGGCACCCCGTTTTCCCATGCTTCTGTTAGAGGGAACTCAGTACCTCCAAGGGTTCTCCAGCTGGGTTCACAGGGTTCTGAGAAGCACTGGGCACCCAGCAGAGCTGTACAGCAGCACCTGTGTGTGCAGGAGCGACCCAGCACAGGCAGGGCATCCCAGCACCACGTACAGCACGTGGAGCAGTGCCAGCTGCCCGAGGGAATCCCTGCTGAGTGAATGAGCTGTGCAGCTTCAGGGAGCAGAAAGCTCACTTCCATTTTGTGCTTACAAGCACAAGGCATGGACAGTGATACATAGCAGAAATATCATCTACTTCCTCTTGCATTTCCACTCCAGTTCACAAAAGGCAGTGCAAGAATTCAAGGGATATTAATTGCATTTCAGTACACGTGACAGTGTCCTTAAGCACTCTCCTCCCTTCGCTCTTGAAGAGGCCATTAGAACTTTTTCAGTTCATAACCTTAAAAAAGAAGATCCCACTGTGATCCTGCTTCACTAAATTCTATGACCTGTTAGCACTTCTCCTAGCTGTGAGTCTGCATGTAAAGGGGAACGGAGCTGGGTATATTTTTATCATAATGATAATCTCACCAAGACTGAATTTATTGTGCACTTAGAGATGACAAACGTATTTAATAACAGTGGGTTAACTCTTGGAGCACTCACTCAAGGCCTACCCTGAAGCCTTGTCTAAGTTGCAGGTGAAATTTGTGCCAAATACTACAGCTTATTATCTAGAATTTGTGTTTCATGGTGAAAATGACTAATTTTAAAGTTTTGCAGCTACTTGAGCAGAGATAAAGTGCTAGATCAAGCAAGTAAACTGTTCCTGGTATCTTGTCTGCCTCCGTTATTTTTTTCATACGCTTGTTTATGAACCTAAAGAAATTTCAGAGTGAAAGTCTCAATTTCAGTAAGACTGCAGTGCTTTAGAAATCTGTTCATCTATACAGCAGAGTAACTTCAATTCACATACTTCTTCTGCAAAGAAAAGCTATTTGGTACGTAGTACAGCTTGGAACAAGGGTAACTTCACTGTGCAGCAAGCTGTCCTGCTTTTAGAGTCATTGTATATTTTCTATGGAATAGGTTTGTTTCTGCAGCCTTTTCCAGCAGATTATTAATGCCTGTAAGACACAGCTCGGATCAAGTATGCTATCCAGAAACTTGGTCGGTCCTTTCAGTCCATACATGTGACGGGACAATGCCCTCTGGCTGCTTTCAGGCAGTGCCTACCACTCAAACATCCTAAACCAAGGTGAGATATCATGTCATTTTGAGCATTCAATCCAGAACACTTCATCCAATCCTTCACACTCAAAAAAACGAAGAGAACAGAAATCCTGTGTTGCCTTTCTTGGCTCTGCCCCTTGCTGGTTGCAGCACAGAGCAGAACAGCTCCAGCAGTGCTCTGGGACAGCAGCAGGGCTGAGTGCCCACAGTGCCCACAGTGCCCATAAGGCTTTGAGCGACAGCTCGGCCGTGCCATGCCCTGCTCACTGGTCCTGGCCCGTACCTACACAGCTGTTAATGCTCTCCCAGACAGCACCTGTGCCAGGTGAGTGTCCTTCCAGGAAATGGCTGGTTACTGCCTGGCGATAGCGCTGCTCCAACACGTGGAGCCGGCCGTGCCGGATGGCTGTGCCCCCACATCACAGACACCAGCTCCAGTCCCAGCCGGCAGGCAGCACAAGCCACGGCCTTCCTCCTCCTCAGCTTTCAATCTACAAGGCGCTCCAGAGCTTACAGCCGAGGGCGACTTTGTCTCCAAATAGTTTAGACACAATGAAGTTTTAGCTCAGGCTTGTTTTTAGCATCAAGGACAGACTGAAAGCAGCAGCTCAGAGACCTGGGAGCACTGAGCAGACACGGAGCTGCACCCTGTCAGGGTGCGGGTGAAGATCACCTTCTACAAAGCATCTCCTCAGTGACAAACCCCACCACAAGGAATGCTGTCCCTTTCAGAAAGTAACAGTGGATCCTGGTAACCCCAGCAGTGCACAGCTACCCCTCTAGTTTTATTTATTTATCCCTTTGACAAACAT